GCAAGGATCCATATTTTTCATTTGTCAACCTTTCATGTGTTATTTCCATATTTTTGTTCTTGCAATTTCCTCATCTGGGCAATATGCTCCGAACCCATTAGATCTGGAAATAGAAAAATTTCACAGCTTAGTACAAAAGCATTTTTTATGACTGAATAAAGCATGGTAGTTTTAGCTTCACCAGGCGGTTTGAGGTGTCAATTTATGTTTAGGTGTGCGGCTGTGTTAGATTTGGTCTTTTGCTTTACTATCATCAATGACTTTGTGTCACATCGGTGGAGTTCGTCATATGGTTCCCCATATTTCTCTTTTAGTTGGCCATGCCATTGTGTGGTCATGTGTGTTTAGTGTTTATTAATCTAGCTCTAGGCTAGATGGAGATCGGCGCGGCTGGTTGTGTCCGGTGTAGTCGGAAGTGTGCCGGTATGCTTGATTGTGGCCATGCTACCTTTTAAGTTTCATTCCTTCTCTATTTCTGTCAACAAAAAATGTGGAGCCGCCCATTAATTGTCATGGTGATGTTGGATATACTGTTCTATTATTTGACAAGTCAGTGTGTGTATATGTAGCAAATTGACAATCACAGTAAACTAGAAAGCTTAGACGTAGAGTTTAAAAGAAAATTCAGAAGCACTGGAGGCTCCTGCTTCTACTGTCATGTTTTAAGCTCCAGTCAGGAGTGGTGTTTCTAAAATAGAGCTTATTAATTTTCACATATATAGCTTGTGTTCGTAATAGCATTCCCGTCTCATTCTTTCTTTTCTATTTTTTCTCCCTATAAAGTCTAGAGCTCCTGTTCAAGTTACTAATCTTTTCATATGTTTTTATAACTATGCAAAAAAGGTCCTCATAAAGAAGAGCCACAGGTCTGACAATGATTTTTAGAGTGTCCAATGGAGGTTCTTCCATTTACCAATTTGTGATCCTGGCCTTTTCTTTCCTGATTAAAAAGAAAAACATATTCTAATTGCCTTTTCTGAACTTATCTTTGAGATAACTTGCATCCAACAGTTAAGCATTTGTGTTTTTTAGATGCCGCACCTCTGTTTTATTGACCTTTGATTCATGTATATATGTAAATTCTATGAAAATGTACCATAGGAAATGTGAATTCATAACTCTATGGTTGATGTAATCTATAGATTTTGATGTGTCTATGTTATGAGGATTCTGAGTAATGAAATACCTATTAAGTCTTTTTTTCATTGGTTTCTTGTTTTTCACGATGGTTATACCAGACACAGAAATATCATTTCCCTACTTTGCCAAACCTTGTTTTTAAACACTACTTTGCCAAACCGGACACCCACATAACCCTTGCTAATGGTTGAACTATGAACCCAACACTTACATATCTTATTAAGAATTTTTTTTTGCATGGTTAAACATGTGTTGCATGTGCATGCTTACTAGTAGTGATAAAGTAAAGTAATTGCATGGCGTTTGCATGTCATACAATAAAGAGACAACCATGAGGCTCCTGCCGGTTGCCAGTAACTTTTACAAAACATGATCATCTCATACAATAACGTATATCACATCATGTCTTGACCATATCACATCACAACATGCCTTGCAAAAATAAGTTAGACGTCCTCTACTTTGTTGTTGCAAGTTTTACGTGGCTGCTACGGGCTTCTAGTAAGAACCATTCTTACCTACGCATCAAAACCACAATGGTGATTTATCAAGTTTGTTGTTTTAACCTTCAACAAGGACCGGCCGGACTCAAATTTGATTCAACTAAAGGGAGAAATAGACACCCGCCAGCCACCTTTATGCAAAACTAGTTACATGTCTATCGGTGGAACCGGTGTCATGAACATGGTCATGTAAAGTTGGTCCCGGCCGCTTCATCCTACAATACTGCCGAATCAAAATAAGACATTGGTGGTAAGCAGTATGACGATCACCGCACACAACTCTTTGTGTTCCACTCATGCATATCATCTACACATAGACCTGGCTCAGATGCCACTGTTGGGAAACGTAGCATGCAATTTCAAAAAAATTCCTACGCTCACGCAAGATCTATCTAGGAGATGCATAGCAACGAGAGGAGGAGAGTGTGTCTACGTACCCTCGTAGACCGAAAGCGGAAGCGTTTGACAACACGGTTGATGTAGTTGAACTTATTATTGTTCCGACCGATCAGCACCGAATGTACGGCACCTTCGAGTTCTACACACGTTCAGCTCGATGACGTACCTCACACTCTTTATCTAGCAAAGTGTCAATGAAGTAGATGAGTTCCCTCAGCACGACGGTGTGGTGACGGTGATGGTGAAGTTATCCGCGCAGGGCTTCGCCTAAGCACTACGAGAATATGACCGAGGGTGTAATTTGTGGAGGGAGGCGCTGCACATGGCTAACATATGTTGTTGTGTGTTCTAGGTGCCCCCCCTCCTCATATATATAGGTGGGAGGGAGAGGGAGCAGCCAAGTGGGCGCCCCAAGTAGTTCGAATCCTACTTGGGGTTCCTCCCCAATTCGCCCCCCCCCCTTTCCTTTTTCACCGAAGAGGAAAGGAAAGAGGAGGGACGAGGGAAGGAAGGGGGAGGTTGAATCCCTCCCCTTCCTTCTCTCCCCCTTTCCTTTCTCCTCTGGTGCGGCCCATATGGGGGGCGCAGCAGCCCCTGCTGGCTGTTGCGTTTCCCCTCTTGGCCCATTAGGCCCATATCTTTGCCGAGGGGGGCCCGGAACCCCTTCTGGTGACCCAATATGTACCCGGTACCCCGTAACACTTCCGGTGTCCGAATACTATCGTCCTATATATCAATATTTACCTCTCGACCATTTTGAGACTCCTCGTCATGTCCGTGATGTCATCCGGGACTCTGAACAACATTCGGTCACCAAATCACATAACTCATATAATACAAAACCGTCATCGAATGTTAAGCGTGCGGACCCTACGGGTTCGAGAACTATGTCGACACGATCGAGACACCTCTCCGGTCAATAACCAATAGCGGAACCTAGATGCTCATATTGGTTCCTACATATTCTACGAAGATCTTTATCGGTCGAACCGTTATGACAACATACGTTATTCCCTTTATCATCGGTATGTTACTTGCCCGAGATTCGATCGTCGGGATTTTCATACCTAGTTCAATCTCGTTACCAGCAAGTCTCTTTACTCATTCCGTAATACATCACCCTGTAACTAACTCATTAGTCACTTTTCTTGCAAGGCTTCTTATGATGTGCATTACCAAGAGGGCCCAGAGATACCTCTCCGATACTCGGAGTGACAAATCCTAATCTCGATCTATGCCAACCCAACAAACACCTTCGGAGATACCTGTAGAGCATCTTTATAATCACCCAGGTACGTTGTGACGTTTGATAGCACACAAGGTATTTCTCTGGGTATCCGGGAGCTGCATAATCTCATAGTCGAAGAAATGTGTTTTTGACATGAAGAAAGCAATAGCAATAAAACTGAACAATCAATATGCTAAGCTAACGGATGGGTCAAGTCAATCACATCATTCTCTAATGATGTGATCCCGTTAATCAAATGACAACTCATGTCCATGGCTAGGAAACTTAACCATCTTTGATTAACGAGCTACTCAAGTAGAGGCATACTAGTGACATTCATTTTGTCTATGTATTCACACATGTACTAAGTTTTCAGTTAATACGATTCTAGCATAAATAATAAACATTTATTATGATATAAGGAAATATAAAATAACAACTTTATTATTGCCTCTAGGGCATATTTCCTTCAGCACGGGCGAATAACGCCCACCAACGACGACGAGGGGGGGAGAGGGCGAAGGGGGCGCGGACGCTACCGGCGGATCTAAGGCCCTCAAGACGCCCGCGATGGGCACGTCATGGTAGGGGGTGGGGGCACTCAACAGGGTACCCTATGTTTGCTTAGGGCAACTCCAACGCACGACCCCATCTTGTCCGCGTTTGTCCGTTTGGATCAAAACGGACGAATGGATCGGTCCAACACGCGGCCGCATCCGCATTTTATGTCCGTTTGGCGTCCGGTCCACCCTATTTCCGGCGTTGGAGTTGCCCTTATGGCCTTTACCCATGACCCATGGCACATGGGAAGGGAGTGCCCCGGCCCCCGGCCACCCACATCAACTTTAGGCATAGTACAGGCATGGGCGAGAGATAATTCGGCAGTAGTAGCTTCCGTTTGCAAGACAGGCAGTTGAGGCTCCAAACGCTGGTCCTCATATTCATAATCGGAGTTTCCAGGATTATTGGCGCACATGGTAGTTCCACTGTAGCCAGACAGACAGACGCGAAACTGTAGGATTTGGACTGCTTGCAACGCTCAAACACAGCTTTCAGCATTAGACGGTGCAAATATGCTGGATTTGGACAGCTAACAACGCTGACCACAGCTTCCATATTTTTGGACCACAACGTGACAGTGAGATTGGACTTGGAAGTACCAACCAGAGCTGAAACAGGGCATAAATATCAATCAACGCATTCTTCTTTGAGTTTGTCTTCCAAACTCTGGTCCTTCTTGAGTTTGATCGTCTGGACGTAATCGACGGAGCTCCGGCGTAGATTCCTGCCGTGCCTTTGGAGCGGTGATGTTAGAGTTTCTCGTCACGTAGCAAAATTTGATGTCACGTGCTTCAGATCTATGCAAGGTTCAACAACGACGAGTGCGGCTTCAGCGCGCTGGTTCTTAATTAGGGTCACGTGCACGAAGACTTTTTGGTTGTCGTCGACGTCGTCAAGGTCAAATTGGCTTTGGTAGGGGAGCGATGACAGCGACACATCAGCGGCTCGTTTTGACGGTAGTAGTGGTCGTCCGGTGGTCTTATGAATCTCGATTTACTGTAATTTTTATTGTGTTTCAGTTATTCCGCCATAAACACGAAATGGTCTACAACAACACGACATGAACGGGGTAGATGACGCCAATGCAATGACAGACGCGCACACAGCACACACGGCCATGTCAATGACCGGACACCAACGATGACCGCCGGCCAAACCTAAGCCGGCGACTAAGGCGCAGAGAACTTGTTGCTGTACCAGAAGACTCCCTTGCGGTCTTCGGGCCGGACGTAGATGCACTCCTTGGCCTCGCGCCATGTGGCCTTGGCGACGGGGGTGGGGTCGAACTGGTAGTACTCGCCGAGGATGGGCTTGATCGCCTTGGTGGCCTCCATGGCGTGGTAGTGCGGCATGGTGGAGAAGAGGTGGTGCGCCACGTGCGTGTCCGTGATGTTGTGGAACACGCGGTTGAGGATGCCGTAGTCGCGGTCCATGGTGGCGAGCGCCCCGCGCAGCCAGTCCCACTCCGTCGAGTCGTAGTGCGGCAGCGCCGGGTGGGTGTGCTGCAGGTAGGTGACCAGGACCAGCCACGCGTTCACGATCAGCAGCGGCACGCCGTAGACCCGCACCACCCACCAGAACCCCAAGGCCGACGCGAGCTTGGACAAGGCGAGGGACACGGCCAGCACGCCGACGTCCGAGATGGAAACCTGGGCGCGCTCCCGGTCGTTGTAGATCGGGCTGTAGGGGTCGAAGTGGCAGGCGAAGCGCGGGTACGGGCGGCCGCAGGTGTTGAGCGACAGGTACATCGGCCACCCGATGGTCAGCTGCACGACGAGGAGCCCCAGACGTCCGACGGGGTTGCTGTAGATGTAGGGGGCGTACCACGCCAGCGTCTCCTTCTGCTTGGGGACGAACACCTCGTCGCGCTCCAGCGAGCCCGTGTTGGAATGGTGGCGGCGGTGGCTGTACTTCCACGAGAAGTAGGGGACGAGCAGCCACGAGTGGAGCACCAGGCCGACGATGTCGTCGAGCAGCGAGGAGTCGGAGAAAGCGTGGTGGCCGCACTCGTGCGCGATGACCCAGACGCCGGTCATGACGCAGCCCTGCACGACCCAGTAGAGCGGCCAGGCGCCCAGCTGCAGCACGCTCGGGAGGGTGGGGATCCAGACCAGCGCCACGTACAGTAGGGCCGCGACGATGACGAGGTCATGGCCCAGGTAGGAGAAGGACTTGATCACCGAGCGCTCGAAGCAGTGTGGCGGGATTGCCTTCTTGATCTGGGCCAGCGTGAACGGCGGCTTGTCCGTCGGCGAGCGCTGGAAGGTCGTGCTGGCGCCGCCGCGGCCGAGCAGCTCCCGCTCCTTCTCTGTCATCCTGCCGCCGGCACCCATGATGCTGCTGACAACGAAGAAAAACACCGGTGGTCAGACAGTACGTAGTATGAAGTTATGTATCATTCAAGAACGAAGATACTGTATATTCTAACGGCATAATTCTGCAAGCAGATCGCCATGAACAACGATATCTAGCAAGTTGGTTATACTTTACCAATGTACTTCTGCTCTGCGAGCGCACGAGAGGGCATCGAGGCAAGCCCGGCACGAGCACACACGGTGGTGGTGGAGGAAAAGATTTTTTGGATCCCGTCTCCAAATGTGGAACCGTGCATACCGCATCGCATCTGCCGCCACCTGTCAAACATCATCATCCCACGGTAGCCAGCCCAGCAGCCCTCCGCCGCGATCGGTTCCGTTTCCATACGCACGCGCTCGGCATGGCAAGTTTGGAGATCGCGGCATGTGCGAGCATCCGCGACATGCTCAGATTCTTTTTCGGATGCGTGTACCAGCGGCTTCACATGTACTGCTAGGCTAAATTCATGTAACTATGCCTCTAGGAGGCCTTCTCGAGCTCCTATTTAAGACACATATTTTTCTTCTCCAACTCTATATTTTCCCTCACAATTTGCTAACTTGCTTCACTTAACTTACAACTTGGTGTTCACCCTCTCTCAGTGACAAAATGGAACAATTCAACTTATTGTGGTTGACACTCCTATCTCCCTGTGAGGGCGGCCAAACACTTGTGCATAATAGCCGACATACTCGTTCACTTCCTCTTATAGATGGACCGTCAATGTTAGAGAGAGGGCCCCCGCAAAAAAAAAATGTTAGAGAGAGGGCATATTGCTGGTGTTAATGATAGGATGTGGCTGCGCATATATCCTTGTGTTCATGATAACGCTTCCAAATCTTTTCTCAATACTTGCTTTCCTTTTTGCTCCGTGCCACATATAGGATCCATGCTTGTGACCAACCAAGCTTTTACCAAGAAGATACCCTCAAATATTGTGAATGTCAGACCTCTTACGTTGGGTGTCTTTGCCTTTCTTTTCCTTTTGGAGTTTGATGATTCGCCAACTTCAAACGTAGGACAATTTAAATCCCCGAAGTAATAGTTCATTTGGGAGATTGTCCTAAAATTATGATGACTGCAAATAAACTAACGGTACATGCAACTAATTGTAATTGATTCAATGGCATATGCAAGGTATTGGTAGGAAAGGAGCAAAATATGTACCGTTTCCTGCTGCGTCATTCAATCAAATAGGACATGGTCAGACCTGGCGCCGTCGCTGCCCGTGTTTGTCTGCTCCCGTTGTAGCTATGACGAGTCACACATGTTATCCCCCGCCGCTTGCGTTGGTGGAAAACAGTCTGAAATGGCACATCCAGCCGTTGGATTGTCGTTGGTCACGGCTGGGGCGAGCGACGCCACCTTCCTTGTTGGTGGCAGGATGGATGGGGGTGGGGGCCGAGGGGACACATCTTCCTCGAGGTCCACGCACAACATACTTGGGTGGAAATCCCTATGATGCAGCTTCCCTCTCGCGCTGCCTCCTTCAACGGTCCCTCTGGGCAAAGTTCTCTGGCTTGCAGCT